AGGTTATTGCCGGAGATAACAACCGTGCAGTCAGTGCCCAAAGTAAGGGAGACGTTTACGATACCTCTGAATTATGCGTTAATGTAGAAAGAACTAAGTAGGTAGGTTAAGATGAAGAAGCTGCGACCACTGGAACGAGGACTTTATTTTCCTGACGTTTCGGATTCTGTTGAGAATCCTTAATCGTAGGTAATCTTGTGAGACATGTACATATTGTGCGGTATTTATAGTGCATAGCGGCCATCCAGATGCGAACTATAATTTTCAGCTCCTGTAAACACCGCTTGGTGTCTTAATTGGTGCCGTGATGGCTTGACACTTTGCCTTCGATTCATTAATTGCCGCGATGTCGTTGATCGTGTTAGATGCAGGCTTGATAATTGCGCGATAATTAGTTTTGTTGTCGTCGGAGTTGTTGTTGAGCTCGGTCCTGCCCTAGTGACTGATTATCCTGCTCAGACAATGTCTCAGTATGGAGTATGGAAACGGCAATTCGTTGCGCTTGTTGATTGATTGTGGGTCTGAGAACCATGACTCGAGCAGCTCGCCGCTCACGCGGTTGTCCCCTTTTGCGAAGATTTCGGCTCAGTCGGTGGTTACAGGAGCTGATAATTATAGTATGCATGCGGATGGCCGTTATTAACTACAAATACCGCGCCATTTGTATCATACTATCCTACGGTTACATACGATTCATGAATCTCGACAGAATCTGAAACGCCAGTAAAATAAAATCTTTAATCGAAAACAGATGACACAATTTTGACCTTCTTTTAATGCGATATGTCGTTGACTAAAAGCGTAAAGTAAGTTGGGAAATTCAAGAAAAGCGAAGATAGACGCCTTCATGTTCAAGTCGCTTTGTTCTGTGAAGCAGGAACGCCGACGTTTAGTAATTCAGATTAGCGCGTAAGTTGAGAATGAATGTGAAAGAAGACGCTGATTAAAGATTGGCAACCAAAAGTATTGAAATGATTTGCATTTCGCTAATAGCACCTTTCAGAGATGCCATCAGGCAGCTGATGTATGGCCCACATAATAACGTATTGTTACTGATTATGTTTAAGTAGGTATTTTATATTCGATCAAACGTACATAGATTATGGCTGCCACCTCACGTGCCTCTCTTGGAGATGGTGGAATGCTGCCGCTCAGCATGG